ATTAATGCTTATTTTTAATATTAATGAAATTATCCAAAAACTTAATATGATTACCTCTGGAGGAAAGAGAAAGCAGGGGTAGAGGCTTGATTTCTCAGACATGTGTCTTGTTCATAATTTTGACTTTGGAACTATATAATGTTTTATATAATCAAAAAACAAAATTAAATTTAAAAAAGATTGATTTCCCAGGCGAGGTAAAATATGCATGCTTCAACCTTTTCCCACACTGGATACAACTATAAAACCTAGACAGAGTGAATGGGCACTTATTTGAAAGCTCTTGTAATTAACAGCTAGTATTATGAGAATTGTAAGCACCCCTGAGTTGAAGACAATTTGCCATCTTTCCCTGCAGTATCCCCCACTTGAACTCACCACAGCCACTGTAACACAGACAGGAAGCCAGGAGATGTCTGCTAACTCTGGTTTGAGGGTCTGAAAAGAGTTCTGCTTGAAGCTCAAAGGAAAATGCAAATCTGAAGTGTCCCCCCCTTCCACTTCCTTCTCTGGTTCCAATCACTGTGGTGGGAAGTCTGCAGCAGCTAAGTGAACTCAGTTGTTAAAGGGACCCTTCCTCCACCATAGGTGGAGCTGCAGTTCTAAAAGCACCAATAAAGGCAGGTTGCTTTTGTCTTTCTTCTCCTCTTCTTGCAGCAGAACACGGACTAAATCACAGAAGTCCTGGCAGAATATAACCAAGCAAGGTACTAGAGCCTCACATCCCTAGCCAGAGAACCAAAAAAAAAAAAAAAGAAGTCCTAGAAACCAAAAAGTACTAGAAAAAGAAAGTAAGGACTCAAAAAAAACAAACTCATAAAATCATTTTTATGAATGACAGGTCTCACCCTCAAGCCACACACACATGGATCCACTCCTAACTAGCATACCAAAGACCTCAAAAACTGACCTAACAGATAAACAATATCCAGGCTACAGACTGACCACTGAATGGCACATACCCACCAGCATATCCAAAAAGCACTATAAAGATTATGCAAGCTGATTGGAATTGCACTTATTGGAATTATAGCCCACAAAAGTCAAATTCAAATTTGCATCCTGAACCTAACCAGGTCTTTGCTTGCTTAAAAATAAATATTCTCATGGAATTCAAAGAAGACACTCAACTCTTAAAGGTAATGTAATGCTAAAAATGTTTAAGTTACAATCCAAAATTACTCAGCACATAAAGACATAGAAAATTAAAGTCACACCAAAAAAAAAAGCAATCAATAGATACCAACACCCATACTATTAGCATAGATTAGTCAAAATCACAATAGGTATATTAAAATGGAGTACCAAAAACAGTCAAATGATTTTGAATATAAAATATTGGCTGGCATAAGCATATAATTTGTTTTTCTTCCTACAAAATATATCTAGCTCTTCTAAAAGAAAGAAGTTCTTTTCATACCTCTTTCTAAAAGAAAAGATAACTCAGAGGCAATAAAAATTCTCAGTGTTTCAGATTATAGTCTCTAAATATCACTGCCCAATTAAAACATCAGACAATCTGAAGTAATAGCTGATTTCAGTTCTAGACTGCTGTTCAAAAAAAAAGCTTAATGTGTTCCTTGTGCCTGAAAATTAGGAGACCATGAGAAATGACTGGTAACGTATTAAAAGAACATAGGTTAACAACTTGAAGGGGCCAAAAATGGAAAAATTTGATCAGCCAAAAATGAAAAATTACTTCAATAAATCAAAGCACACCAGAAGTATGTATATATTAACTAATTATACTGACAATTGATAAAGAAATGGAAAGAATCCGGCATTATTCCCATCTTCCCAGAGGGGTCATGTTGCAGGTTTGATTAAATAGATAACTAAGGAAAGATCTTCTTTATAGAAGATTCAGTTAATAGTTGCAAGAGAAACAGCAATGTTAGAATTCAATTCCCAAAGAGATACTGAATTTGAGAAACAGTCACCAATGGCTGACAAACCACTAGGTACAACACATTTGTTGGAACTACAAAGCAGGGATTAAATAAAAACCATCTGAAACAACTTCATCAATCTTATCATTAGAGATAACAAGATACATGTGCCTCCTTGTGTGGTGCAATAAGTATAAAGCACTATTGATGAAATGTTAATTTCAAAGGGAAAAATAAGATTTTGTTTTGTTTTTGGTATCAGGGATTGAAACCAGGGGGCACTTAACCACTGAACCACATCCCCAGCCCTTTTTAATTATTTTTTATTTTAAGAAAGGGTCTCCTAACTTGAGTTGCTGAGGCTGGCTTTGAATTTGCAATCCTCCTGCCTCAGCCTCCTGAGCCAGTGCGATTACAAAGCGCCACAGCAACCAGCTGAAGAGGAGAATTCAATCAAGAGTCCCTATAAAACTTCATCAACAGAAAATCCATGGAATATAGGAGTAGGAATAGGTAAAATGATACCAGGAGAAGCAATCGGCAAATCCAGAACTTGAGGAGAATTATATATGACAAATGACCCAATGTGTTCAACAAATAAACAGAAGGAAGAAAAGTGGGAAAAGAAATGAAAAGAAGAGGAAACTTAGGAAACACAATAAAAAAAAGCAACACATGAGTCTTTTTAAGATCCTAATTCCAACAAAGTAAAAAGATATTTTTTAAACAATGGGCAACAACAGAACATAGACTGGGTATTAAATGATATGGAAGAATAAACGCTAAATATGTTAGGCATGTTAATGTTCTCGTGGTTTTGTTTTTAAATTTTTCTTATGTATTAGAGAAACATATTTAAGTATTTTTTTAATTTTTTATTGTTGGTTGTTCAAAACATTACAAATTTCTTGATATATCATATTTCACACTTTGATTCAAGTGGGTTATGAACTCCCATTTTTACCCCATATACAGATTGCAGAATCACATCAGTTACACATCCATTGATTTACATATTGCCATACTAGTGTCTGTTGTGTTCTGCTGCCTTTCCTATCCTCTACTATCCCCCCTCCCCTCCCCTCCCCTCCCCTCCCCTCTTCTCTCTCTACCCCCTCTACTGTCATTCATTTCTCCCCCTTGTATTATTTTTCCCTTTCCCCTCACTTCCTCTTGTATGTACTTTTGTATAACCCTGAGGGTCTCCTTCCATTTCCATGCAATTTCCCTTCTCCCTCCCTTTCCCTCCCACCTCTCATCCTTGTTTAATGTTAATCTTCTTCTCATGCTCTTCATCCCTACTCTGTTCTTAGTTACTCTCCTTATATCAAAGAAGACATTTGGCATTTGTTTTTTAGGGATTGGCTAGCTTCACTTAGCATAATCTGCTCTAATGCCATCCATTTCCCTGCAAATTCTATGATTTTGTCATTTTTTAATGCAGAGTAATACTCCATTGTGTATAAATGCCACATTTTTTTTATCCATTCGTCTATTGAAGGGCATCTAGGTTGGTTCCACAGTCTTGCTATTGTGAATTGTGCTGCTATGAACATCGATGTAGCAGTGTCCCTGTAGCATGCTCTTTTTAGGTCTTTAGGGAATAGACCAAGAAGGGGAATAGCTGGGTCAAATGGTGGCTCCATTCCCAGCTTTCCAAGAAATCTCCATACTGCTTTCCAAATTGGCTGCACCAATTTGCAGTCCCACCAGCAATGTACAAGTGTACCCTTTTCCCCACATCCTCGCCAGCACTTGTTGTTGTTTGACTTCATAATGGCTGCCAATCTTACTGGAGTGAGATGGTATCTTAGGGTGGTTTTGATTTGCATTTCTCTGACAGCTAGAGATAGTGAGCATTTTTTCATGTACTTGTTGATTGACTGTATGTCCTCCTCTGAGAAGTGTCTGTTCAGGTCCTTGGCCCATTTGTTGATTGGGTTGTTTGTTTTCTTATTGTCTAATTTTTTGAGTTCTTTGTATACTCTGGATATTAGGGCTCTATCTGAAGTGTGAGGAGTAAAGATTTGTTCCCAGGGTGTAGGCTCCCTATTTACCTCTCTTATTGTTTCTTTTGCTGAGAAAAAACTTTTTAGTTTGAGTAAGATTCTAGTTATTAACTTTTGTGCTATGGGTGTCCTACTGAGGAATTTGGAGCCCGACCCCACCGTTTAAGTATTTATGTATGAAATTATTTGATATCTCGGATTTGCTATAAAATCCTCTAGATGTATTCAGGCATTATTTATGCATTAAAATACATTAAAAAGTAAATAAAATTTGACACTCCATATTGATTTTGTAGCACTACCCAAAAGAAAGAACTTTTTGATCTTGGTAAATAAGTACCTCATAACATTCCATGTTTCACACCAAATTTCAGCTGGCAGTAGCTTGTTCTGTACTAGACACGTATAATACATGTCCGGTCAGGCACTAGTATTTCTGAACTTGTACACAAAACTATCTGAATTATATCCAATGCACCCCATCCTTTCCAGGTAGAATGAAAAGATGATGCAGATCACTAGGGATATTCTTGGGGATTTTGGAACAAACCCTCTGGCTGATTTTTCCCATTATGCACCACATTACTCCTTGTGGTCAACAGAATTCAATCATGCTGAATTGCTAAGACTTGCTTACATTTCCTCACACCGGGTTCAGAGAGCATAAGGACCAATGTGTCACAACCAGATTAATTCAATCTGCCCTCCAGAGCACCCTCAGGGCACCACAGCCTCTCTATATAATTAAAGAAAATTTAGACAAACATCTAAAGATAGCCTCAGAATGAAGAAAGCAATCACTATCCTTCAGTGACTGCATTTCCATGTGGTCACCTAGTATTTCAGAGCCACTAGAAGAAGAAATGCACAGTATTGGCTAAATGAGCAATGGGTTCCTATGTTAATGGAGTTTGAGAGTAATTTTAATCCCTGCATCTGCCACAGAGATGTTAAAGAGATTACTGCAGCCTTCTTTGAAGAACGATTTAGTTAAAGCCTTGCTCATTTCTGGTCTGTTTTTGTTCTTCTGCCCAGTGCCAACTGTTTGCACTCCATGCACTCATCTTCTGTCAAGTGATCAAAATAATCAGAGGGTCCTTACCTATCAGAAGGCTCTGTCTTTCAAATTAGTAAAGTAATTCTCAGGTTGTCATACACCTTTGCTGACAGATTTATGTACTTCTGTTTAAATTCCACATGCTGAGGCCTGAAATAATAACATAATTGAAAGCTTAGTTTTAATCCCAAAAATCATTTACAAAAACATTAATGGCCCTAACCTACTCTTAGCAAAGCAATTTACAATAATATTAACTACCTCCACTTGAAAAAAAAAATCATTACTGCTTAATTACTGATCCTCTACTCTGTATTGATCAAATTTGAAGCCACACTTTTTCAGGAACTGAAAAATCAATTGGATATTGATTAGACATTCTAATATAAATCATATTTCAAAATATATCTGATGCTTTGAGAACAAAATTCATAGAGGATAATTTTGGTACCCAGTGATCTTATGAGGTGAAAATTCAAACAAATTTTTATCCTTCTTCAAGAATTTAAAAATGTTGATTGTTGTAAGATTCATAGTTTCAACAGCCCTTATATTCACTGAACAAAATAAGAGCTGATTCTTATAAGTTTTTTTATTTAAGTATATTACATTCACTCTAAAATCAACCTTACATCCCACCTAAACAGTTCTGTGAATGTGAGAAATGTCAGGCAAGCTTGTACGAATTTGTGTGTGTATGTGTGTGTGTGGAAGCATTTATGAAGAGTGATTAGAAATCAATCAATACCAATTTTTTTCCAATCCCAGGATTCATTGTCCTCATTATGACTTTACCAGTAGATATGGTTGCCCACCTGTTTCAGGAATGAAACTGAAACACAGCCACTTTGTTGTTTTTTTTTTCCAGGTCCTCAGTTTCCCATACCTTTTTGAATCTGAATCCACTGAAAAGGTTAAGTTGGTTTTTCTGGAATACTGATCTTAAAGATGAAAATTCCTTTGCAAGAACTTCACAAAACAGGTTTAATGCAGGACAACCATTGGCCTCTGCTTTTCCCTCCCTTTTCCGTACACTGCTTCACTTTTCTCCGAGTTAGAGATCAAATCTTTATCTTATTGGAGTTGTATGAATAAGAAACTACAGGAGAGTCCATAGTTGCAATATTAAAACAGACTTTGCTTTTCGATACTCTTCTACCAAGAACTATGAGTGGAGTTGCCTCAACTATCACCTCAGGCGTCACTCTGTGTCTCTGATTTTCTCTTACTTATTCTGTTCATTCCTGTCTTAGTTCCATAATTATTTTTCCTGTTGTTTCTATTTTTCTTCTCTTTTAATATCCTTTTCCCACTCCTCTCCTTTAACTAGTCATCAATAATATTATTATAACTCATTATTCCTTCTCCCTAATATTTTTTCTTATTCTGTGTTCCCTTTCCAACTAGTTTCAAGTAGGTCATAAAATTTCCAGATGAAAAATCCACACGTCTCCAGGCTCCTGCTGCTTTCTCACACAGGGCTCAGACACAGTCACACAGCCATGTTCCTTCTGCCTCCTAAATCTGTTTAAATCTGAAATAGCCCCACTTCCCCCTTTGCACTGCCAACTCTTTCCTGCCTAGGCAACTGCAACGCAGTCTTAATTCATATTTCTGCTTTCTTTCTATTAGATAACAAATGAAATCTAATCCAGACCTGCCCCTCTGCAACAAGCCATTTCTTTTTTGTTTTATTTTATTTTTTATTTGATCTAATTAGTTATACATGACAGTAGAATGTGTTTTTACACATCATACATACATGGAGTATAACTTCTCATTCTCTGGTTGTACATGATGTAGAATCACACCAGTAATCATATATGTACATGGGGTAATAATGTCTGATTCATTCTACTATCCTTTGTATACCCCATAACCCCTCCCCCCCTTCATTCCCCTCTGCCTAATCCAAATACCTCTATTTTTCCCTAGTTCCCCCACTTATTGTGGATTAGCATCCACATATCAGAGAAAACTTTAGTCTTTTGTTTGGGGAATTGGCTTATTTCACTTAGCATGTTATTTACCTGCAAATGCCATAATTTCATTTTTCTTTAAGGCTGAGTAATACTCTGTTGTGTATATATACCACAATTTATTTATCCATTCATCTGTTGAAGGGCATCTAGGTTGGTTCCATAGTTTGGCTATTGTGAATTTGAGCTGCTATAAACATTGATGTGGCTGCATCACTGTAGTGTGCTGATTTTAAGTCCTTTAGGTATAAACTGAGGAGTGGGATAGCTGGGTCAAATGATGGTTCCATTCCAAGTTTTCTGAGGAAGCCATTTATTAAATCATTTATAAGTCAAGTTTCTGCCATGTTTAAAATCTTCCAGTTCTTCCAAATTTTCCACTTTCATTTTCATGGAATTCAGTACAAACTGTATCCCAGCAATATCTATGCCCATGACATTCAACTCCTCCCAGTGTTCCACCCTCCCCAATCACAGGCATACCTCTACACTCTAGGAATCTGAAGTCTGTTTCCTTTACATACCTCCATCTCTTTGCCATGCATATGCATATCCCTCCCTCCACGGCATTACAATATTACTGCTTTGCTTTACATATACCAGTATTATGCAATTTATCACAACGTATTATAATTGTATATAAGTACAATAACTAAAATTATAAGTATCTATCTGTAGACTGATTTCCTTGAAAATGAAAACTAAACTTAGATATCTTTGTACACCTGGATGTTAACATCATACCTGTTCATTGTAAATACCTGATAGTTATTTGTTGAACGCCTTCTTCAAGAGAGAAAAGCTCTAAACGTTTTGCTACTTGTTAAATCCAGTGGCACTCTCAACTTGAGTCTAGGCTGTATTCACTGTGGGAATCCAGACTCCTAGCTGGTAGGATAGATTTGAAAAAAGCCTATGCACAAGGGAAAATTCAGAAGCCTCCTAGGAATCTACTCAAATTATGCCAGTGCTTAGTCTAAGGCTTATCTGGAAAAGTCTGGTAAACCTGAGGGATGATCTGACAAGTATCTGTTTGCAGTGGATCAGAAGTGTCTCCTGAAGGGGACTAATTAAAAGGAAGATTGACTTGAAATTCCAGAAGGAAGTGGTGATTATGGGTGTACTATCGTTCACTCCATTCCCAGTAAAATCCTTAGAACACCCTGTAAACAGACAGAGAGCAAGCATGTTCACCCAAAATACTGTAAACCATAGAACAGCTACAGTGCTCTAAGACCCTCTAAGAGAGAGTGTAAGGCAAGCGGGAGAGAGCATGTCTCCCCGCCACTTTTCTGAAGTGCAATCTCCACTGGCCTGGTCATGGCAGACAAAATCATTATACACCAGCAACACCCTAGTCTGTACTACAGTGCAACACAGACTGCTCAAACCCAAGACACGGTGATCTCTAGTAAGCAGTCGTAGCAGCTAGCAGTGGTAGGCTAACAGTAAACAGAGTTTCAGGAGGGGCCAAGGTGTGTCAATTTATAGCAGCATCATAAGACACATCCAGGGAATTCCTAAATATGCTCGAAAAGGAAGGGTATTTATCATCTGAATAGGGACAAGTTGAAAATGCAAGGGTTTATTCAAAACAACCAAAATAATATAATTTTAAACTTTAGTTTATTAATAAGTGCATTTTGACATAATGCTGCTCTTGTAGTTCTTTTTAAAAGCCACTCTCAAAAGAAAAACTTTTTTCTAAAAAAGAATAACATTAAAAAATAATGTAAACAAAACAATTATCCTTGAATATATTCAAAATCTTTTAATCAGCTCTTTATGTATTTCTAATATCATGTCAATAGTTTTTTTAAAGAATGTATATTTTCAGAATGGTCCTCTTAAGTTTTTTATATGCAATTGTCTGCACTCATTTCAATATTGCATTTTATGACTAGTAAATTTGGAACAGGTGAGATCTAAAAGCACTGTTAGCAATATTTTGACTGAGAAGATACTCTTTAGATAGGCACTGAGGGATCTAGAAAACTCAGGAGAAAAAATTCTCTAGATACAGAATATTCTACATTATAATTTGGGCTTTTGTATTTCAGTGTTTAAATATATCATCCCAATCATTTCTACTCTTTTGTTCACACTATTTTTTTGATGCATCATAGTTGTACATAATGGTGGGATTTGTTGTTACATCTTCATGTTTGTTCACACACAGTATGATTCTTTACCTCCATTTTGAATCCCTTCTTCAAAAATATTTTACAAGAAAAGCTTTTCTCTGTTTATTGTGAACATTTCATACGTTATTGGTGCTGTAAAATCACAGCACCCATAAATTTACTTAATTTCAATAAAGAATATAAATTAATTCAATTTTTTAAAAATCATAATTCAGTCAAAATATTCTTCCCACCAGTCAAGATTGTCAAAAGCACAATTATAAAATTTCAGAATTAAATTATGTACACCATTTGATATCTTGTTTAGTTTGTTCAGCTTGTTCATTGCTCATGTAAGATAAATTTTGGAGTCTTCCTGATTGAGGGGGAAAAAAGGCAACTGTACAGGCCAGGAGAGAACTGGCTGATTCAAAAAGTAATCAACAGTGTCAAATATTTTTCCCACCACCATCCCAAAGAGAAAAAAAATTCTCCATTCCTGTCCACATACATTTGATTTTATCAGCTCTGCATGCTGTCTTTGAAAGAAAGGCAATAGTTACATTGAGTCTAGAAAGGTTGAGAAAAGAGAATTATCACTGACTCTGCTTTCAGATATAAACATGTATTTAAGTGTGACCTCTGGTCATAGCATGTGGATCTCCTACATAATTAGAAAAGATCAACTCAGAAAGTAGGTATATGAAGACGGTGTCTGCCAAATTCATACAGGCATATTCTAATGCAAATATTGATAATACTTTGTTTTTTAAAAAATAGGAAATCTACAGGAAATGCTGAACAAGATAGACACTAATATAACAACCATAAACTTTGACTACATTTCACAGTAACCATGATAGCTATCCTACTTAAAAGAGAACTTTCTGGAAACTGGAGACCCTAAATTAAAATTAGTAAATGAGAGGAGTAAAAAAATAAGAGTCAAGAATTTGTGAATTGTTTCCTAATCTGATTTTTGATTGATGTCAAGGATGGTTTGAATTGAACAAATTATATTACTAAAATATTATGCAGATTTCTCTGTAAAGTAAGCACTAAATTAAGTTACTGTGCATTTTTTTTAATTCCACCTAAAGATATCAGCTTTCAGAGAAAGCAAATTTTCTAATCTCAGACCAGTTATATAATGCATGTGCTGGGGGCAAGGGTTAAAATTCCCTGGTTTTGTGATAATCTGGATCCGTACAAATCCTCTTCTCCTAAGGGAAAATATAAACTGAAATTCTTTTCAATTTAGTCTTTTGTATACTCCAGAATCAGAGTTTGAAGCAAGAACCTTGAAGCACCCTTTATGAAGAGATGGTCACTCCCTAAGAAGTCTTGGTCTTCTCTACACACTAAACAACTTATTCATTACACACATTCAACATCAGAGGATCCGAAGCTCTTGCTTCATCAAATCCCATGCTCTGCCCCATAGCCAGCCTTCTCCTCAATTGGCATCTATATCATCTTCATAACTAGGCTATAAACCCTTGTGGGTAGCATACAGTCTTCACTTGGTCCTCTCTTCTGTCACCCAATTCTTTCCTCTTAAATAAAGTGAGTGCACAATAAATTCTCTTGAGTGGAACAAATCATTATTAATTAGTGAAACTTGCTAAGGAATTGAAGCTTCATCTCTCTTCAAAAGAAGGAAATAAAATGATTCAGTGGCATATCCTTGATCTTACAGTCAGAGTAAATAATCTCAACAGTATAAAAATAAACTCAAAATAACTCTGGTTTGTGTGTTTTCTAGCTGAAAAGAAAAAAGATCCACTTTTGGTAGGAAATCTAGATTAAGTAGTTACAGTGAAAAATATAATAGTCTCTTCAAATGTTTTTTTTTCTTATGCTACAGAAACTCAACAATTAATTAATTTATTTATTTATGTGCGGGGGATCAAACTCAGGGCCTTACACTTATTAGGCAAGTGCTCGACCACTCAGCTACATTCCCAGCTCTTCATAAAATCTATATATTATTCATATATAATTTTAAAATTGAAATGCAATTTACAACTCTAAAATATTTTGTATTTTTAATTAGGTTTCAACATTATGTTCTTTTTTAATTTAATTCTACTATATCCTTAAGGGACACTAATATAAATACAAGTAGGATGTAAAAAGGGAGAGATTAGACACCACGCACATCAAAGGCAACTAACTGCCTTGATTTACTACTGAAATGCTAAAACATAATCAAATACAAATTAGTAGGAGAGCTTCCTTACAAGGGCAGAAAGAGAATATCCCAGACATAGGATCTGAATTCTAAAATTGATTTGAGATAAGTTCATTTACCCGGAAGGGGCAAACATCTTCATTAGCCTGGAAAATACAATGCATTTATGTGATTGCGAAGTATTTGTATGGCTTACTTGTAAGCCTGCTCTCAACTTCTGTACTTGTCATGCCTGCTTATTGTTAAATAGTATTACTGAGAGGAGGAAAAAAACAGTTTATGCTCTGGGAGTTTCTTGCTACAAAAGCTCTCATCTGGTTAATGAACAATTAGTATAAACACAGCTTCAGATGGTGTTCATGTCTTAGCCTTAGATGTTAATTTTCTGTTTGTTCACTCATTCAGTTAAAATATACATTTAGTTTAAGTAAACAAACATGACTTAATCTTAGATTTTGCACTTGAGCTATTTATAATCTAGTTTGATGAAAAGTAGACAGTAACATAAAGTATAAAGGGGTAATTATGAATTAAACACTTCCAGCAATGATAACCAGTCTCTGGTTGAATTTACATTTCATTTAACTAGTTCCTCTCAAAGCAGCCAGTCATTCCTCACATTTTTATTGTAAGTACTATAGTCTAATTTAAGATATTAGTCCCAGCAGCATAGAGATCATAATAGCTTAACAAAAGAATTCCATAATGCTCTATTATTACAGCTGGAATTCATTGAGCTCAGTGTAGGTAGCACCTTGCTAGAACTGGGACAACTGTGCTTTTTAACAATTTCAGAAATTTAGGTAAGCTCTTATTGTCATTATTTGCTTTTTTGTTTTTGTTTTTATTTTTTGATCTTCCTTAAAAAAAAAAACCTACTCCAAGTTTAAGGGTAACAGAATACAAACATTGAATTTAAAATCTCAAATGGGTAGTAGCACCCAAAACCTAGCTACATTTAATAATTTGTTTCACTATTTTTAAGTGCATAAATTGTGTTACTTTGGATTAGGCAGCAGGGAGTGAAAGGAGGGGAGGGGTATGGCAGTAGGAAGGGTAGTAGAATGAATCAGACATTATTACCCTAAATACATATATAACTACTAGTGTGATTCTACATCATGCACAACCAGAAGAATGAGAAATTATACTCCATTTATATATGATGTGTCAAAGTGCATTGTACTCTCGTGTGCAACTAATTAGAACACATTTTAAAAAAGAAAAATTGGAACAATATAGATAGAACTAAGTTCCCTTTGACCACCACTGCAAGCCTCATACTCAAGCCTCATACTCACCATTGAGATATAACAAGTCATCAGTCAGTACGAGTCACTCTTCAACGATCATTGCCATGTGTCTATAATAGTAGAAAAATAAAGACGTTGCTCATTAATTCAGGAACTGAAATGCCCATCCCATGAATTCTCCATAGCAATGGAATTGAAGGAGAGAGAAAGTTAGTTAGTATGGTTATAGTGAGTACTGTGGCACACATCTCCTGTTGTGCAAGATTTTCCTATTGTGTATATCTGGAAGTGGAATGCCTGGGTCCTAGATCGTGTGCCTCTGCAACCTCATAGGTATTGCCAAACTAGTCTTCAAAGCATGATGGCTATCATATTCCCTTCAGCTCGACTAAACTTTAGACAGCTTTCTTCCTGACTGTAGCCCCCTAATTTTCTCCTTCCTAAAGCATCCTCTTTAGAAATTTAGATTTGCAAAATTTTTTTTCTTTCTTTAGAGAAGTACGTCTTCTTAAAATCTTTGTTTTACCATGCAAGAGTGCCAGTTTTACACACCAAGTATGTCTTTTTCAAAGAACTGAGATCCGTTATTTTTAAAATTTAATCATCAAGAAAGACAGAACCCCTATCTTCCAGTTTCTGTGGGAGGTTAAGTGCCTAAATCCAATAAGTGACAATCAGCAAACACTGATGATCTAATAACATTGACCAACTTTACATCAATAAATTCACCATAGAGCTTCAAACTCCTCTAGCCTTTTGTCTCATGGGAGTTATATTCACCCTCTCCCCCAAATTGCAATCATTCTAAATATATTTTTCATTTTCTGTTGAAATTGTCTGGTGCAATTTTCCCTTGACAAATATAACCTAATTAGTTAATATCCATTTTCGTCACCATTAGCAGTATTCAGGAGTTTCTATTTTACTATAAGTGGCCAACAAATATATGAAAAAATGTTTGATTTCCTCCACAATCAAGGAGATGCAAATCAAAACTACACTGAGATTTCATCTCACCTCAGTTAGAATGGTAATTACTGGTTTTTTATTTCCTTAGATTAAAAAAGTAAATGTAATGTTTAAAAAAAGAGTTCCTATTTCACATGATTATTGATAAATCATAAGATTTAAAAATTTTTGCCAATTTTATATGCATGAAATGGTATCTTATTTCAATATTACTGATTTACCAATAAACTACTAGTATCTTTTTAAATGTTTATTTCAAGTTCAGTTTTTCCTCTGTAAACTCCCTGTATATGTTGGACCCATTTTATATGTTGTTGCTTTTGTTTATTGATTTGTAGTTCTTTATTTATCCTGTTTACTAATCCTTGACAGCTATTTGTCTCAAATACAATCTAATCTATCCTAGCTTAATGACTGAACCTGTCATATTCTCAATACGATCCCTCCATATGAATTCCAAACTACTAAGACCTTTTTCAGTACTATGGGTCATAAAATTTAGGTAGCAGCCACATAAGACTGACTTAGGACAGAAGAAATAAGAAATTGGTAGGTTATGGTTTAGATAGGAGGTGTTTTCCAAAAGCTCCTGGGTGATAATTACAGACAGGTGGGGTGTGGCCAGAAGGGTGAGTCACTGGGGGTGTGCCCCAGAAGGGTTCATTTTTCCTGTGGCCCCTTCCCCCTCTCCTTCTCTGTTCCCTGGTTGCCATAAGGTGATCAGCTTCCCTCTGTCACACCCTTCCATCATGATGTGCTGCCTCATTTTGGGCAAAGAGCAATGGAATTGGCCCACCACAAAACCGAACCTCTGTAACCATGAGCCAAAATAAATTTTCCCTCCACTGAGATGTTCTTTGATTTTGGTCACAGTAACAAATGCTGACTGACACAGAAATCAGTACCAAGAAGTGGGGTCATTGCTGTGAATAGCCTGACCATGTGGTTCAGAAGCCTTTGGAGCTGTTTTGTGGAAGGAGTTTGGAAGAGTTTCAAGATGTGGGCTGGAAAAGCTTTAGAATGTTATGAGAAGAGCTTAATGGGCAATTCTGGTGGAAGCACAGAAGATCAGAATGCCAATAAGAATGCAGACTATGCTCATGAGGTTTCAGAGGGAAATGGCAGCTCATCTTATAATCTGGCAAAGAACTTGTCTACTTTTTGCCCATGTCCTGAGACTTTGTGTGAGACTGAATTTAAAGGAGATGGAATAATTAATCTAGCAGAGAAAACTTCACAACAGCACAGAATTCTGTCAGTGGCATGGATATTGCTGGCAGCTGTTAGCCAGGTTTTCTGTGAGAATAGGAAGTAGAAAGCAGAGCAGCAGGATTTTTAAAACTTGCAACTTGGCCAGAAAAGTGTGTGTAAAACTGAGACCAAGGAACTTGCACCTGTTAAGGCAATTACAGCCACTACAAAGAAACTATGAACTTGGCACAGAGATGATAGAAAAGATGGCTTGAGAGCCTCTCAGGAATTGGCAAGACTACACCCAATGCAGGTTAAAGGGTCTAGAAGGAAAACTTGCTTTGAGAAGAGATTATAGGGATGCCCTGCTTGCACAGGGGACCTCCAGAATTTGTTTCACAGGGCTCTGCCACCCATGTACTCAGACGCTGCTACAGACAATATCAGAGGAACCAGCTATTGCAGATATGTGGTGCTGGTTCTGCAGGAACACACAATGCTGGGGTTTCTACCATTTCAAACGCAGGCCTGGAAGTCCAGGAAAAGTATAGTAAGGTCAAAATCCCTGCATGCTGCCCCTGAGAGGATGATGCATGAAGCTCTGAAGGTGAAACCAAAGTTAGAATGGAAAACCCAAGAATTGAGAGAATGAAGATGGCGGTGGGTAGGAAGGTAGCTCCCCCATGACCTGCACCACTGCACCAGCAGTGAGTTTAGAACGGCCGGATGCTGTCTTGTCAGGAATATTCAGGGAAATTGGTCTACAATGAAACTTAAGGGAAGAGTTTGAACATCTGAGGGGCAGCGACATGGCTCAGACGTGAACCCAAGCCACCCCCTGCATGGAGGTACTGGCTAGCTGAACAGTAACCCGCCGCAGCAGGAGGCGATTGAGCGCTGCGGAGACCTTCCAGCAGCTCAGAGAAACGGAACTTCAGATCCTGTGAAGATCTGCCAACCGCACCTCCACAGGGCACCAGACCCAGATCTGAAGTTGGGACTTAGGAGAGAAACAGCCCAGATCCATCCTCCTCGCCAGACACCCCAGCAAGGAAACCGGAGGCCACCATACTGGAGAACTGACGTCATCAGCATTGGGCAGATGGGATCGCACCAAATCAAATTTGGCGACAGAACAGGTGTGTGACCCTCAGCCTCCCCCTCCATGCAGCTGGGATAACTCAAAGAATCTCTCCCCAGCTCTCCGTGGGTGTGAATATCAGAGCCAAGGGAAACAGAAAAGGCACCTGACCTCCAACTCCACCCCCCCTCCCAACAGCAACGAAAACCGAAACCTTTTTCGCCAGCTCTGGGGGCATGGCTATCGGTTTCCAACTCCCACGCTCCACAGCCATGAGGGCTGGGTGCATAACAAAGAGAGCATCCAGTCACTCAAGAGGAGAATCCAGGAAACTGCATGCCCAGAGTGTAGCTAGAACTGTGGAGAAGTGCCCCAGTAAGTGGGGCCTGGCAGGCAGGAGAAGCGAGGGGGCTAGAAACCAGGAGCAACCCTAAGCAACCGGGATTAGAGAGACACACGGCTGGGGAGGGAGAGCCACCTCACAAGGATTGCTTCCTACATCCTGAGGACAGAGACTTAGCCCGGAAAGCACAGCTCCACCTACTGGAAGAGAAGAAAATAGAACTCTAAGAGTGCATTTTTTAAATTTTTTTTTTCTTTTCTTTTTCTTTTTTTCTCTTTCTTTCTATTTCTTGTTTCCTTCCTTCCCTTTCCCCTACCTTTCCTCTCAAGCATTATTACTTCTATTACATGTAATTTACTAAATGCAAATAGGTGAATGTTTCGAGGCTGTCTATAGTGCTCCTAAGTACTTAGCTACCCCCAAATACTCCTGTCTATTCTCCTATTAATATCCCCCTACATTAGAGCAATCCTCCAAATTAGCTAAGATATAGTAACCCCCATACCATCACATCTTTCAACCTAAACATAAAGCCCTAAGACCAAACCTCAGTTCCCTATATACCATCAGAATCTGTATGCCTTTTATGAAACTAATGAATTTACTTTAAATTACAATTAAACCGAACATCTCTAGACATTGTCTGCCATCACAAAGGAGAGATCCCGGAGCTATACAAAATCAAAACAAATTTATAGGAGAAAATAATAACACAGCAGTCACACAGAGCTGGAAAGAAACACAAGCATCATGAAAAACAAGGAAGAAAAGGAACACAAACAATTCAGGACAGCTTAAGTTTACAGGAGATGCTAGAGGCAGCAGAGAGATGATCAGATAAAGATTTCAAGACATATTTGCTTCAGTTCTTATGGAGTCTTAAGGAGGACATTAGACATCAAATGCAAACAATGAAAGATCACTTCAACAATGAATTACATAAACAAATCCAAGAGGCAAAAGAACAACTCTACAGGGAGATAGAGGTTATACAAACAAATCAAACAGAAATCCTAGAAATGAAGGAAATTATAAGCCAAATTAAAAACTCAAATGAGAGTATCACCAGTAGAGTAGACCAAGTAGAAGTCAGTACATCAGACAAAGAAGACAAAATATATCATCTCAAAAAGAGTCTAGTCAACTCAGAACGGCTGGTAAGAAACCATGAACAAAACATCCAAGAGATATGGGATATCATAAAAAACCAAACTTAAGAGTCATCGGGATAGAGGAAGATATAGAGGTCCAAACCAAAGGAATGAGCAATCTGTTAAATGAAATAATTTTAGAAAACTTTCCAGACATGAAGAATGAAATGGAAGTCCAAATCCTAGAAGCCTACAGGACACCAAATGTACAAAACCACAAGAGACCCACACCAAGACACATTATAATGAAGATATCCAACATACAGAACAAGGAGAGAATATTAAAAGCTACAAGAGAAAGGAAATAGACTACATTTAGGGGTAAACCAATTAGGTTAATGGCTGATTTTTTCATCACAGACACTGAAAGCTAGAAGCTCCTGG